AGCGCCCTACTCTCTTCAGCATTGGAGCATTGGCGCCGCTCCCAGCAACAACAGCAGCCCTGCTCGAGACTTCCTCCCTTTCTATTCAGGGCCAGGTCCTTGCCTCAGCGCCGACTGCCCCCATCCCCACCAAGGCAATCCTGTCGTTCGATACTTTCTTGTGCTTTACCCTTCGCTGGGGTTCAACTGGCGGTCTCGCATCGGCGCAGCAAGGCGCGGGCATGTGTTTTCGAGGCGGGATATGTTGAAATTCCTCGGAGGAATTTGCAAGACCTCATTGGGCGGGAGATCTGGGAATGGGAATAACGGACCCCGCTAAAGAACAAGAGTCCTCCATGATGTGGATGGTTATCATGATGGTCGCATACTTCGTGTGGAAACATCGCGCATGAGGGTAAAATGATTGGTGCTGTTGTTGGCGGTGTGTTTGTTGTTGTGGTGGTGGTTGTGGTTGTTGGTGTTGTGTTTGTTGATTTTGTTGTTGGTGATGTTGTTGCTGCTGTTGTTGTTGATGTTGTTGCTAGTACTGCTGTTGTTGTTGGTGGTGATGGTGTTGTTGTTGGTTGTGTTGACGTCGGTGTTGTTGTTGTTGATGGTGGTGTTGTTGGTGGTGGTGTTGTTGTTGGTGGTGGTGTTGTTGTCTGTTTGTTGGTTGTTTCGTTTGCTTGTTTGTTTGTTTGTTTGCATGTTTGCTGATATGTTGTTTGGCGTCATCCCCCCCGCAAGCCGGCCCGCGACCCGCCCCGCGACCTTCCCCGCGACCCACCCGCAAGCCACCCGCGACCCACCCGCGACCTTCCCCGCGACCCACCCCGCGACCCACCCGCGACCCACCCTGCGACCCACTCCGCGACCCACCCCGCGACCCACCCCGCGACTATCCCGCCCTCGCCCCGCGACCCACCCCGCGATCCACCCCGCGACCCACCCCGCGACCCACCCCGCGACCCGCCCGCGACCCACCCCGCGACCCACTTGCGACCCACCCGCGACCCACCCGCGACCCACACATGACCCGCCCGCGACCCACCCGCGACCCACCCTGCGACCCACCCACATTGTGTTAACGAAAAAACAGCGCCTGCGGCGGCTCCTTGCATGATTGATGCAAGTTAGGCGCCTGCTGCGGGCTTCTTCAGAGCCTCGCAGACTGCCGACGTCATCGCCGCCCCTTCACTCTTATCCGCAACTGCGGGGTGCTACGATCGATATCTGGCTATTTGAATTGCTTCCGGCCAATGCCGCCACCGTGTCTGGGTTGTGGTGGGTCATAAGTCATAGGCCTCTCGGATGCTCGTTGGGATGTCGCTGGAGGCCTCTCGGGAGCCTCGTGGAGGCAGTTCCGAGGCCTCTTGAGAGCCGTTGTTGGGCCTCTTAGGGCATCTTGGGGGCCTCTTGGGGCCTCTTGAGGCCCTACTGGGTTCTTCTTCGGACGGAAGGCTTGGATGTTTGGTTCGTGTTTTCCCTTTTGAGCTCCTCTTGGGGCCCCCTTGGGCTGTCTTGGGGCCATCTTGGGCGTCTTGGGCGCCTCCTGGGCCTTCTTGGGCCCTGTTGAGGGCCTCTGCGGCCGTCTTGGAGCGTCGGAAGCTCGAAAAGGGGAGCATCCCATAAACTTCAAAGTACCTAAGGAATCAATAATTTGGGCCTCTCGGGGGGAGGCTCTTGGAGCCCTCTTGGAACGGCTTGGGCGCTTTTTCGGCCGATAGCAGGCCATCTTTGGCGTCTTGATCCGATTTTTCAGCGTTTCGGGGCCGTCTTGGACCGTGTTGGGGGCCAAGAGTCCGGAAGACCGCCCATGGGGAGTTCCGACGTCCCTGAGCCTGCATTGCCGGGGTACGTTTTCGTCCAGGGACCCCCAGGGGTGGCCTGGCGCACGAACTAGAAGTGTTCTAAACCTGTTACCAGCACGCCTCTGGCCCATTAAGCCGGCGAATTTCCTTCTCTTTCTACCTCCCCTTCTCTCTCTCTCTCGTTGCGGTGCGTTGGCGGCGCCGCCAACGCCTCGCCAACGCCTTGCCAACTGCTCGCCGACGCTCGCCAATGCTCGCCAACACCTCGCCAACACCCCGCTAGCACGTTTCGGTGATCCTCAAGACATTTGTTAGCCCAGTGAGAGTATACCCCGTTCAACCCAACCAGTCGATCATCACATCGCCTTCGTCGTAGCGAAGGGCCTCAGTGGGCAAAAACACGTTGGCGCCATCACGTTTTGAGGATCATCGAACGTTGGTGAGGCGTGTGGGCGGGTGTTGGCACTGCGTCGGCACAGTGTTGGCACAGCGTCGGCGGGTGTTGGTACAGAGTTTGCACAGCATCAGCACAGGGCTTGCGGTTGGCGCGCGCGCGGCGTGCGCGCGGGCATGGCCATGGTGAGACAGCGAGGGGTCGACGGCTCGAGGCCAGCGGCGTGGCCTGAGGGAACCCGGCCCTCCCCAGGCCCGTTCCGAAGGCGCTTGGAGGGGGGGGAGGGGGAGGAGGAGGAGGACGAGGAGGAGGAGGAGGAGGAGGAGGAGGAGGAGGAGGAGGAGGAGCAGGGGGCGCCCACGAGGAGCCCACGCGAGGGACTGTGGCGAAGCCTCGGCGGACAGGCCCACAAGTGCACGAGGCGCACACGAGGCCCCCCCACTGGCCCCCCCGTCCCAGGCCGGCGCTGGCGCTGGCGGCGGCCGTCGCGGCGGCGGGGAGCGTCGACGAGGACGACGATTCGAGGGGGGAAGGGGGGGGCTCGAACCCCCCCCTTCCTCAAGGCCAGCGACGACGACGACGACGACGACGACGACAAGCACGAGGTCGTCGGCGTCGACGAAGACGACGACCCGACGGCGACGGCGACGACGACGACAACGACGGCGACGACGACGACGACGACGACGACAAGCACGACGACAAGCACGACGACAACGACGACGACGGCAACGACGACGACGACGACGATGGCGGCGACGACGGTGACGGCGACGGCGACGACAGCGGCGACGAAGACCCCGACGACGACGGCGGCGACGGCGACGACGGCAACGATGACGACGACAACCCCGACGACGACAATGGCGACGACGGTGCCGACGACGGCCGCGACGACGACGACGACGCCGACAACGACGGCGACGACGAAAGCGACGACGACGTCGACGATGACGGCGACGACGACGACGACGGCGATGACGACGACGACGAGCACGACGACGACGACGGCGACGACGACGATCACGACGACCACGACGACCATGACGACGACGACGAGCACGACGACGACGACGACGACGACGACGACGGCGACGGCGACGGCGACGGCGACTGCGACGGCGACGACGACGACGGCGACGACGACAGCAACGACGACGTCGACGACGGCAGCGACGACGGCGACGCCGGCGACGACAGCGCCGACGTGCATGACGACGACGACGGCGTCGATGACGCCGACGGCGACGACGACGCGAACGACGACGAAGCCGATCGAGACGACGACGATTACGACGACGGCAAAGACGACGACGGCGACCTCGGAGACGACGGCGACACGGGCGGTGACGACGACGATGACGACGACAACGATTGCGACGACGACGGCGACGACGACGACGGCGGCGACGGCGACGACGACGACGACGGTGGCGACGACGACGACGACGAGGACGACGACGACGGCGGCGGTGACGTCGACGACGACGCTGACGATGACTTTGACGACGGCGACGACGACAACGGCGACGACGAGCACGACGACAACGACGGCGACGACGACGACAGCGACCTTCGCGACGACGACGGCGACGACGGCAACGACGACGACGACGATGACAACGACGAGGACGACGAGCACGACGACGACGACGGCGACGATGACGACGACGAAGGCGACAACGACCGCGACAACGTTCTGGACCGCGACAACGATGACGACCGCCACGGCGACTTGGACGACGACGGCGACGACGACGTTATCGACGGCGACGACGGTGACGACGACGACGACGGCGACGTTGACCACGACGAGGACGGGGACGACGACGATGACGACGGCGACGACGGCGACGACGTCCACGATGGCGACGACGACGATGACGGCGACGACGACTACGGCGACCACGACGACTTCGAGCATCACGACGACGACTGCGACGACGACGATGACGATCACGACGACGACGACGATGACGGCGTCAACGTCGACGACGACGACGACGACGAGCACGACGACGACGACGACCGCGACGACAACCTCGACGAGGACGACGATGACGACGACGTTGATGACGACGACGTCGATCACGGCGACGATGACGATGACGACGACGACGGCGGCGTCGACGGCGACAACGACGATGACGGACAGCGCTGGAGGTACGCAACGCAACGCAAAAACAAATCGTGTTAGACGTCCGGGTCCGTCAGTCAATATTCATATTCGCAGGGCCGACGACAGAGGACTACAAGGGACCTTGTCGTCGTCGTTTTCGTCCTGGTCATCGTCGTCGCGTCGCCGCCGTGGGCGCTGCAATCCGCCGCCGCCGCCGCCGCCGCCGCCGCTGGCGCTGGCGCGGGGCGCGGGGGGGATTCGGGGAGGGGGGGAGGGGGGAGGGGTTCCGACGGCGCCGAATGTTCGGGGGGGGGGCCGGTTTCAATGCCCCGCCGCATGTTCCCAAGGCAAGCGCCCGTGAAACGCGATCCTTTCGATGGTGGTGATAGTGACCGATCATTATGACGGTGGTGGCCGATGACCATGATGAGGTGATGATAGTGATGACACAAAACATGACCGACCCCACGAAGGGTGTCAGGGGAAATGAATAATCTTACGCTCCTGGAGGTCCGCGCGGATTTTTTCGGATCGGCGTTGGCAGCGCCTGTGACGCCGCCCATGGCGCGCTTCGCGCGCCAGGGAGGGGGGTCCAGCGCCGATCCAGGACATCTGCGCGGACCTCCGAAAACTATTTGTTTGCAATCTGTCCCCCTCGATTCCTGACCGTCGCGACGACGTCGGGTGCCTGCCGTGGCCAGTTCGGCTCCAGGCGGCGGGGGCCACTATTTTCCAAGTGGGGGCTGCCAGAGGCGCCCCTGGCCTGGGGATTCCCCAGCTCTTCGTGCCGCCTCGGGGCCCCCCCCTGGGGCCATGAAAGTTTTGCGAGGGGTCTTCGTGGAGGCCACCTGGGCGACGAACGAAATAATTGTCCAACTGCGCCGCTTTTCACGCGCGAGCTGCCCGCACAAGGTCGCGCGTAGGCGACCTCGTCCTCTACGCGGTGTGCCGCGCGGGCGGCCCGCGTAAGCCGCGGCGTAGGGTCGTTATGCCTCGCGAAATGCCGTTTTTGATCGTCGCTCCTCTGGGCCTCTGAGACCCGTGCGTTGCAGTGCCTTCGCGCCGGACGTTTTCGCCCAGCTTGGGGCCCTGGGCCTTCAGGGATCGCTCCGGCTCGGAGAACACCGCAGAAAGATGGGGTCCAGGCCTCTGGTCGGTTTGTTTTACGATCTCAGGTTCCCTGGGGAGTCCGGGGACACCTCAGGCCAGGGTTAAGTCGGGCCTGTCCCTCTACAGGGGGACCATGTCGGAGCATTTTTTGATTATTTAATCGCTTCGCTCATTCCGCGGGCCCTTATTGTCGCACCTCTGTCGATTTGGGGGTGTATTCCTGAGGGGGTCGCAGTGACTGTGGATTGGGTTTCGGGTGTTCGTCGCAGATTCTGGCGGGGTTGTCCTGGGGCAATCGTGGATGATCACGGGTCTGGTCGGTGATTTGCTTGTGTCGGTGAGGGGGTGATGATTCTGGATGGTCGCTGTGGGGCCATGTCGCAGATCGGAGGTATCCGTCGCAAGTTTGAGCCTTTCCGTGTTGGAGGGTGGCGGCTTGTGAATACGACCGCACGAAGAGGAGGAGGAGGAGGAGGAGGAGGAGGAAGAGGAGGAGGAGGAGGAGGAGGGAGGAGGAGGAGGAGGAGGAGGAGGAGTGGGATGGAGGAGGAGGAGGAAGAGGAGCATGAGGAGCAGGAGGAGGTGAAGCCTCTTGGGCCGTCTTTGCGGTCTACTGGGCCGTCTTGAGGCCGTCTTGGGCGGCCTGGGGCGATGGTGAGGGCCTCTTCGGCCCCTCTTGGGGACGTTTCGAGACGTTCTTGGGCCCGTGTGGCCGCCTCTTAGACCATCTCGGGAGCCGTCTTGGGCCATCGTGGGGCTGTGTTGGGTCGATCCTGGAGGCTTCTTGGGCTTCCCTGGAGCGTGGGAAAGCCGAAAAGGCGAGAAGGCTGAAAACCTCAAACGACCTTGTGAAAATCAATGGTTTCCGCCTCTGGGGCGCCTCTTGGAAGCCTCGAGGGGCGTGTTGGAGGCATCGAGGGCCATCGTGAGACAATTTTGGGCCGCCATGAGACTCTGTTCGCATCTGGCCGCAGGGCATTACCTATTCCTCATCGGTCTTCATCCTCCTTGTCCTCCTCCCTCCTCGTTCTCCCCCCCTCTTCTCCTCATCCCTGCTCCTCCTCCTCCCGCCTTGTCCGCCTCCCGCACCGAAAAGGGAGCAGGCGGGTCCTGCAGGGAGGGGCGCCTGGCAGGGTCTATTTCGATCCGGTTCGAGGTTCTAGGTGTTCGAGGCTCTCTAGGAGGGCCTCTTGAGGTTCTCGTGGGGCTTCTTGGCGGCGTCATGGGCCGTCTGGGGACCATCGTGGGCGTCTTGGGACGATTCTGCGGGTCGGCCAACTAGGAAGTTCAATTCGAGTTCCCCCAATGGGGCCCCGCTTAGGGCTGTCTTGGGCTGTCCAGGGGGCCTCGTGGGCCGTCTTAGGGCTCTCTTGGGCCATGTTGGGCCCATGTTGGGAGTCTGTTGGGCCGTCTTGGGGCGATCTTGAAGGTCTCTTGGGCAGTGTTGGACGCGCTGGACTTCGAAACGTCGTATATGGGGAACCTGTATTTTTTCTGAAGGGAATTGGACACTTTTTGCTTGTTGAGGCTCCCTAAGAGCCCACTGAGGCTCTCTTGGGGCTTCTTGGCGGCGTCTTGGGCCGTCTCGAGGCCATCGTGAGCGTCTTGGGACGATCTTGCAGCTCGGCGAGCTAGAAAGTTTAATTCGAGCTCCTCCGACGGGGCTCCTCGTAGGACTGTCTTAGGCTGTCCAGGGCCTCGTGGGCCGTCTTGAGGCCCTCTTGGGCCGTGTTGGGCCCATGTTGGGAATCGGTTGGGCCGTCTTGGGGCGATCTTGAAGGTTTCTTGGGCAGTGTTGGACGCGCTGGACCTCGAAACGTCGTATATGGGGAACATGTTTGTTTTCTCATCTGAAGGGAATGGGACACTTTTTGCTTGTTGAGGCTCCCTAAGAGAGCCCATTGAGGCCCTCTTGGGGCTTCTTGGCGGCATCTTGGGCCGTCTCGAGGCCATCGTGAGCGTCTTGGGACGATCTTGCAGCTCGGCGAGCTAGAAAGTTTAATTCGAGCTCCTCCGACGGGGCTCCTCGTAGGACTGTCTTAGGCTGTCCAGGGCCTCGTGGGCCGTCTTGAGGCCCTCTTGGGCCGTGTTGGGCCCATGTTGGGAATCGGTTGGGCCGTCTTGGGGCGTTCTTGAAGGTTTCTTGGGCAGTGTTGGACGCGCTGGACTTTGAAACGTCGTATAGGCGCCAAATTGACGTTTCCTGTAGGGAATGAGACACTTGTGCTTGTTGAGGCTCTTGAGGCTCTCTTGGGGCTTGGCGGCGTCTTGGGCCGCCTGGAGGCAATCGTGAGAGTCTTGGGACGATCGTGCGAGTCAGCGAGCTAGAATGTTCAATTCGAGCTCCCCCGATAGGGCTCCTCGTAGGGCTGTCTTGGGCTGTCCAGGGGGCCTCGTGGGCCGTCTTAGGGCCCTCTTGGGCCGTGTTGGGCCCATGTTGGGAGTTTTGGGCCGTCTTGGGGCGATCTTGAAGGTCTCTTGGGAAGTGTTGGACGCGCTGGACCTCGAAACGTCGCTTATGCGCAAAATATACGCTTTCTCACGGGAATGGGACATGTTTTGCTTGTTGGGGCCCTCTATGAGAGCCTCTTGAGGCTCTCTTGGGGCTTCTTGGCGGCGTCCTGGGCCGTCTGGCGGCGACCGAAGGTCCCTTCGGACCGTCTCGAGCGCGTCACGGGTCTCTCTTGGAGCGTTCCTGGGGCGCTCGGGGAAGCCTGGAAGGCAGCGCCGAGGAGGAAAACCATCTCTTGGTCTCACCTGGCCAGGACCTGCCCGGGTACTTTTCGTTCGGGGGCCCCCAGGGGCCGCCCCACGCGGGCGAACTAGAACATTGCAAACCAGTTGCCGGAGCTCTTCGCACGCCTCTGGCCCGTGGGGCCGGCGAATTTTGCACTTGTCATCCAAAATCCGCCTGTAGGGGGACATGCCCGACCTCAGGCCAGGGACGCCTTTGACTGCGCCCGAGAGACGCAGCGCCGCGCCGTGCCGCGCGCAGGGCTCGCCAAGCGGCCCCGTCGGGCGCCGGGCGCAGAGGTCTAGCGAGCCTCCGCGCGTCGACCTGGGCTAGCCGCGGCGTCGGGACGCGGCGGCGGCGGCCCCCCTCCCTGGCCGAGAGATGCCCTGTGCGCGCCCAGCTGGCCCGAGGCCCCTCTCCGTGCAGCCAGGCAGGGTCCGTTCCGTTGTGGAGGACGATCGATGGAGAGGAAGCATGTTGCCAAATAATTTCCATGTGTCTGAAATATGTGTTAAACATGCTTGAAACATGTAAAAGCACATGTTTAGGACATGTTTCCTACATTTTAAACACAGTTTAAATTCAATGATCGGACTGTCAGGGTGTCCATTGTCGTGGCATCCACAACCGTTCCGATCCGATCGAATCGGCTCGTTGCCGATTGGGGCCAGCCTGGCCCGGTGTGACGCCGACGTTCCGGCGATCCCATGCGGCCCGATGCGCACATGGACACGGCGTCGTTGCGCATCGTGGTGCGGCCGATCCGATTCGATGTCGACTCCGGGCCGATGCGGCCCGATCCGGTGCACGTGCCGATCTGTTCCGAGCTTCCGATTCGACGCTGGCGTTAGAGTCTTGCCGGGAGAGCGGGAGACGCCTCCCCTCATTCACCGGGGGCGTCCAGGGAGGGTGGTGAGGGTTGCAGCCAGAGTCCACTGTGAGGATGCGCTGCTTCATCAAGTCTACCCTTGCATACCTGCTTCTTCGGCCCATCCTGAGCCCATGGTGACGTCCAGGGAGCTCTGAATGGTAGGTAGACGGGGCTTCCGGGGGTCTTTGCATCCTCACACGGCGTCCTTGCTATGGACGTTGACTGTAATTCGGAGGGGGGACTGCACGGCCAGGGCCATGGTACATCCCGGAGTTCACGCCCCCCCTCTCCAGCCACGCGCAGGGGGGGGATAAGGGGAGGGGGGGATGATACATCCCAGATTTCACGCCCACCCTCTCCAGCCACACGCAGGGGGGGGGATAGGGGGAGGGGGGAAGGCTTCCTGTAGGCACCCCCGCTTCTGAGAAGGCGCGGGCCTTGGGTACCTACAGACGTCAGGCCCGCGCCTTCTGAGAAGCAGCCTCCTTCTAAAAAGCCTTCCCCCCTCCCCCTGCCCCCTCGTTCGCGCCGCCAACCTCTTCTTCTTTGAGCACGTCCCCTAGGAGGAGGAGGAGGAGGAGGAGGAGGAGGAGGAGGAGAACGAGGAGGAGGAGGAGGAGGTCCCCCCGCTTCCCTCGTCCGCGCGCATGCCTCGGGCCGTGGTGCGCTATTGCCCCCCTGCTCCTACATTAGCCCCCCTCTTTGGCGCACCTCCTCTTCGAAGGTTGGCAAACCCGTGGCTGCTGAAACGGAGCTCCAGGAAATTGTCGTTTTCTTCCAGGAAGCAGCCCGTTTACCATTTAGTGAGCTGAGTTCGATTCCGGGAGTATGTTTTTTTCTTCCGGGAAGACCGTTTTAGCAGCCACGGATTTGCCATCCTTCCCCATCCCAGACTCGGCCACGCGCAGAGGGGGGAATAATTAGGGGGAGAGGGAAGGCTTCTTAGAAGAGGCCTCCTTCTGCGAAGCCTTCCCCCCTCCCCCTCCCCCTGTCCCTCCTGTGCGCGCCGCTACCAGACATCTGGCGCTCCAATGTTTGCTCGATGCGTGGGCCCCCCCTAGGATGTTTTTGGACGGTCCTGGGGCCCGTTGAGGGCCCCTGGAAGCGCAAAAGTTGCCGCTCCAAATTTTTCGGAGCCTCTGATCACTGGGATCCTCCATCCTCCGTCCGGTCCACAGGTCCTACCGTCGCAGAGGTAAGCTCGCGGCGGGGCGGTGCTTCCCACGCTTTCGGCCTACCCAGGGGCCAGCCCGGGGCAGTCAACGAAACAATATTCAGGTTGATACGCCGGTCCCGCCAGGAAGAGGTCGAGATTCCCGGGGCCCGCGTCGCGGAAAAAATCCAAAGATCCGAGGCTCCGAAAAATCGGAGCGGCGGGTTTTCGTAATTTTTAGCCTCTGGTGGCCCTTCACAGGCCCCAGAACGGTCAGAAAACAACCCAGGATGTAATGCCGGCCCTGGGGAAATTGTCCAGACCTACGGGGGTCCACGCACCGAAACAATCGGAGCGCCAGATGTCTGGAATTGCGCCGTCGGATGAGAGGGTCCATCCACCCCCCACCACCTTCATCCTCCGCCCCCTCACTAGGGGTCTCCGGAGGCCTCTGGAGCACTCCTGCCCACATCAGGTCAGGGCGTCAGTCGCAGATTGCAGCAGGCCTTTTGGCCCCGCCCTCAGGTTTGTTGCAGAAATTGTCGAGGTGCTCAGGTGAGCGACAGGAGAAAACGGGGTCGTCTTCACCGGCATTGGCGCGCAAGGTCGCGCGAATGCGCCCTCGCTTCCAATGTGGCGTGCCACGCTGACGGCCTGCGTATAAGCCACCACGTGAGGTCGCTACGATAGGTTCACGTCGTGTCGACCGGCGGCGACCCCAGCGCGGGTATTGAAGGTTGAACGAAGCCCGTGGCCCAGAGTCGGCCTATCGTTGAACGATCTGGCATTTCAGAAACGGCCGATCATTCAAGGTTGAACGATCCCCGCGGTGTCAAAAACCAACGCCGAAGTCGGCAAGGAACGAACCTGCCGCATGTCATCCCGCATAGGACGCATTCTTTTTCGTCGCTCAGATTCTTGGCTGGGGGTAAAAGGTGGCTTTCACACTACACAACAATCCCTGCCCTCAGCCAGGACCCCCTGGACCAGATCATTAGGTCGGGAGTGGGGATTCTGGCTGGGGTGGAAGTGGTTGTGCTGTCCTCTTTGGGCGCGATCCTCCGACCTCATATTTACTCGGACCCCATCTGGGAGGCCTTTGTCCAGCTGCCTACGGCAGGTCCCGCCACCGTGCCTGGGTTGTGGGTGATGAGCCTAGTGGATGCTCATTGGAATCTCGTGGGAGGCCTCTCGGGGGGCCTCTTGGATGTAGTTTTGAGGCCTCTTGGGCTTGGGGGCCTCTTGGGGGGGCCTCTTGGGGACCTCTTGGGGCCTCTTGGGGGCCTCTTGGGGGCCCGTTGGGGCCTTACTTACTCAGGCCCCATCTGGGAGGCCTCTACATGGGGGCGCGAGAGTCGCCGCGGTGGGTGCGCAGAGGGTCTCTCTGGGCCCCGGTCGGCCGCTCGGGCCAGTCATGAAGGCGAGGGGCGCGCTGTGCCTCGCCCTGCTGCTGGCGGCGCTTGGCACGCGCGCGGACGACGCCGACGGCGACGACGACGACCTGGACCTCCGGGGAGGAGAAGGTGCCGCTGGTGCTTGGCATCGCTCGGACGTGTGCATTTTTCCTCGGCGAGGGCCTTCGAGGAGCATCCGCGACCACCAGGCCAGAAAAGAGCACGCGCGGTGCCGACGAATGCACGGGGAGTGGACGTCCGAGCGGCGGCGAGAACATCGGCCGCTGAATTACAAAGGGGGGGACCCCCCTCCCCCCTCCCTCCCTCGGGGTGGGGAACAGCGCTCCCCTGGCTGCGAAAGATAAACTATTTTTCCCCTCGCACACGCGCAGCCCAAAAAGCCTCACCCCCGCATTGGCAACGAATGGGGAAGGCAGGGGCGGCTATTCAAGCGGACGTTGGGCCGCTCGAATATGTCGTATTCTTGGCCCAGCAAGTGTTTGTAAAGTTCTCGAACCATGCTTCCGCTGTCCTTCCCTCGTTTCGGCCTTTGCGGCCTCCCGTGAGGCCCTTCGTCGCCACGGCTGCATTCGCCTCGAGATGGTGGTCAGATCGCACCCCTGGAGAGGTCCGGGGCGTGGCGGCATCGCTGCCGTTTGGGTCCCCGAGGACTTGGACGACCTCGACGAGGACGAGGGGCCCAGCCCCGCCCCGCCGGTGGTCGGCGCGTCGCGCTGAGGGTCAGTGGCAACGTTGAGGAGGGCAGGCTCGGGGGGGGATGCATCGACCCCAATCGCCCATTCATCGCCGACAGGGGCCCTATAGCCCACCCCGCCCAGGAGCATGCGGGTTCGCTACCCGGGGGTTTCTCGCCGATCTGTCGGGGATGTATCGCCGATTCCATGTCGATGCTTCCCCCTTAAGCTGAGTCCACCCCCATCGTGGAACAAGAGTCGGGACTTTCGGGGGCCGCTCTGAACAAGTCAAGGCATCGGCTCCCTGGGAGGCGGCCCCGGCTTGCCCAGGGAGGCCCACGCGGCCCCCACCAGAGCACGCGCTCACGGGCCCCCAGGGGGGTTCCACAGGGGCTGCAGAGTGGCGCCCACGGCGGAGTGCGCACCCTGGGCTGGGCGGGAGCTCTTCTCGCCACCCACCACACCACCCCAACCCAACCCGAAGGCCTCAATTTGCCCTCCATTTCCAGTGGGGTGGGGCCCGAGAACATCGAAAAAACACATATGGAGCCCATACCCCCCAACCCGAAATTCGGGTCTTCGGGTTGGGTTGGGGTGGTCTGGTAGGTAGTCATCTTCTGGCAGCGCCGAGAGACGAGAGGGGAGCGGCGCGGGGAGCGGAGGGGGGGGGGCTCTGAGAGGACGGCCCTCCTCTCAGTGGAAGCCCTTTCTGCCCTCTGTCTAGGCCTCCAACGTTGAAGGGGCCCCAGGACACACAGATAAGTATACAAATAATAGGATTCCCAATATTTTCCGATATTTTCTTGGTTTTTGCCTTCCCCCCCACTTCCCATATTTTCCCATATTTCCTGGGAATCGACGATGAATTGTGTCTGTGTGTGTTTTTCCCCTCCTGAAGCGTGTCATGGCAATCCAACATGTGCCTCCTGCCGTCAATGCCAGCCCGGCAGAAGCAACATCACATACGGGGCAGAAAAGGACACCCAGGCAGGAGTCGAGAGTTCGTAGCCCGCGCTCTGATGAAAAGCAGCAATCGGAGGCATGGACGAGAAGCCGTGGCCTGCTAAGGATCGCGCTACCCTCTCAGCAGTCGGCTACCCCGCCTTGCCGCCCCACCCCTCTGATCCAGGCCTTCCATCTCATCCAGGCCTCCCAGTTGGAGCCGAAGTGATGGGGCTGAGGTCGATTGCCGATGCGTCGGCGATGCGGCTCGATCTGATGCCCGATTTTCTCCATGCCGACGTCACCGCTGCATCGCCGACGCATCGGCGACTCATCGGCGATACGGCGCGAACCTCGGACCCGATCTACTCGGACCCTATCTTGAAGGCCTCAACTTGAGCGTCCCGCCAAGGTGGAGGACTTTGACCTGGGCATACCGGAGGAGGACATCCGCCGCCAGATCACACCCGCTCACATCCACCGCTTCAGAAATCGTGTGCAGGGATCTCGAGGTCTGGGATCCCTCGAAGGGGGAGGTCCCTCGAGGGAGGAGGAGGAGGAGGAGGATGAGGAGGAGGAGGAGAGGAGTCTCGAGTATGCCTTTTCAGGAGGCCTCTGTGGACCACCGCGGGAGGAAACGCGTACACACCCATCGCTCTCTTGGGACCTTAGGAGCCCCTCGGAGAGATATGACCGCTCTCTGGGCCTCGGAGGGGTTGTAGGACCCTCGGGCCCGTCCCGCATTCAGTCTGCACGGCTGGTTTGAAAGATGTTGATGCATGATAGGTACTATTGTGAAGGCCTGACGGCCTGTGCCGCCGACCCAGAAGGATGACGACGAGGACGACGACCACGACTACGACCACGACGACAAAACGACAACGGCGAGCTGATGACCCTGCCACAAGTTCGGGACATGGGGCGGGCGGAGGAGGGATGGGGGAGGAGGAGGAAGAGGTATTATTTTGCAGGCGGCAGCGCCGCATCGTTAGACTGCACAGGGCACAGCAGCCGCGTTAGGTTCGCGTCGTGTCGACGCGGCGGCGGCCCTGCCGCAGGCGTTCGAGGTTGCACGCCGGCAGTGGCCCAGAATCCGCCAGTACGGAGCGACTGGCGATGCAGAAGCTGCGCCTCGCTCCAGGTTGACCAATCCACGCGGTGTCCAAAACCCAGCGCAGGGGTCGTCGACCCCTAATCGCTCATTGCTCGCCGATAGGGGTCTGGGAGCCCTTCCCCGCCCAGGAACGTGGGGATTTGCTATCGGGGGCCTATCGCCGATGTACTGGCGATGTATCGCCGATTCCAGGTCGATGTTTCTCCCCCTGTGCCAGTCCCCCCCCCATCGTTGCCCCTCAACGGCCCTCCCTCCCTCCTGCCAGCACGCGCGCGCAAGGGTGACGCAGCGTGATCGCACCCGTTGTCGCGCTCCCCGCAGGTCTTTGGGGCGAAGCCGAGGCTGGGGGGGTCCTTCGCTCCCTCCTCGGGAGGGTTTCTCTTTTGCTTGGCATCGCTCGAACTTGTGAACTCTTTCTCGGCGAGACCAACGCCAGAAAGTTTTGATTGTCGGTGAGCAGATTGAATCATCGAGCGAGAAAAAACACACACACACACACGAAACCGAAGCATGCACGTGGAGTGGACGTCCGAGCGATGGCAAGTCTGTGGTCAAGCTATGACGGTGGGTCTCTGGAGATTGTGGGCGAGTGCATGGGGTCCGTAGTCCCCAGAGCCCCCCCTTTGAGAGGGGGCTCTGGGAGGGCTCCAGAGAGAGCTTGGTATCGCTCAGACGTGTGCACTTTTTCTCGGCGGGGATTATTCAGGAGCATCCTGGATCATCCTGCGGAAAAGCCACGCACGAAACCGAAAAAAACACAGGGAGTGGACGTCCGAGCGATGGTCAGAGAAAGCTGCTTCAACCCACCCGGCCCCCTCCCCCCCCCTGAAGGAGGGATCTGAGGGAGGGACCTCCTGCACTCGCCGATAGCACCCTCCCCGAAAGCCGGGGGGTCCTGAGAGGGCTCCGGGCAGGAGACCCCGCGACCGTCCCAAACGCCCCCCCCCCCGGCGGTCCGAGGACAGGCGGAAGATGATGGCGAGCTGCTGGCAGCACACGCTCAACCGCGTGCAGTTGCGCGGCGAGGAGCTCAAGGCCGCCGTCGAGCAGATGGTCGCCGCTCGCCGGGAGCAGGGGTTGTCGTCGGACCAGGCGAGCTTCGCTTCCTCCCTCCTCCTCCTCCTCCTCCTCCTCCTCCTGCTCCTCTTCCTCATCCTCCTCCTCCTCCTCCTCCTCCGCCTCCTCCTCCTCCTATGTTGCGTTGAGCGGACGTCGATAAGTGGGATCCGCCTCCTCCTCCTTCTCCTCCTCGGAAGGTGGAGCTTGTTTGGGTTTAGACGTTCCCGACGAACCCCAGAGGAAGGTGAGCCTGTCGGGGTCGTAGCAGGGAGAGCCTGCCGGTGTCGTAGCAGGGATGAAAGACAGCGGACCCATTTTCGTAGCAGTCCAGCGCGATCCTTCTCCTTCTCCTCCTCCTCCTCCTCCTCCTCCTCCTCCTCCTCCTCCTCCTCCTCCCTCTCCTCCTGCTCTTCCTGCTCCTCATCCTCCTCATCATCATCACCATCATCCTCATCATTCTCCTCATCATCATCACCGTCATCATTTTCTCCGCCTTTTGCATGCTCGTGCGCGTCAGCTGCTACGCCGTCGTGGGAAGTTTGTCTCTGTCATCTCGAATATGCCGCTAGCCTCTGTTCACTGCCGCCACCCAGCCGATCGCCTCTTGACATAGTGATCGTGTGTTTGCTGTGTGCCTCATTTGCCCAATATTGTTCCTGGCTGCGCCGGTGTGTGCCTCTCCCAGGAACGGATTGGGATTGCCTGTCCTCGAGCATAGCTAATTGTCCTGGGACGGACGTCTTGCCCTCTTCTCGTTTCTTGTCCGCTCGCCCTTGTTGCGTTTTGCCCTCTTCTCGCCTCTTGCCCGCTTGCCCTCGTCTCGCCCATCGTCTTCACCGCGGGTCCTGATCATCATCATCACCGTCATCATCACCATCATCATCATCATCATCATCATCATCATCATCATCATCATCATCATCTTCATCATCATCTTCATCTTCATCTTCATCCTCGTCATCATCCGTGGCCATTGTGGCTCAAGGCCATGCATCACCAGCCGGTGCGAGTCCCTCGTGGGCGGTGTGAGCTTTCTTGGGGAGTGTTGGCAGAGCCAGAGTCATCCAAATACCAATCGTGCTGCCGTGAGCATCTCCGTTTTCCGAGTCCCCACTCATTGTCATGGGAGGCAATGGCCGACGTGGTGGTCAAGAAGGATACGCGCGGTGCTCCAAGTGTCAATACAAGTGGACATGGAAGTCCCGCCCCTGCTGCTGCAGCTGCGGTCATCGGCTGTCCCCGTCGCCTTGTCCAGCGCGAGAGCCTGTGGGAGCCTGGGCCAAACCCGCTGGGCGTGCAGCAGGGCCTGCTCCCGCCCCGCCCTGGGCCGCAGGCCGCGCAGGTGCTCACAGGCAGCCAAGCCGCCCCCCGCGGAAAGGGGGCTGGGCTGCCAGCCAGTCTGTGCGAGAGGACTCGCTGCTCGAGACCGTCCAGAGGCGCAAAGAGGAGTTCCCCAAGGCCGCCGTCGCCGCCCTCCAGAACCTGGAGGCCGCGTTGCAGCCAGCGCCTGCGGCGGCCAGGACTACGCTGCCCGACGAGGCGGTCCAGCGTGCCTGGGGAGTCGCCCGGCGTGCCCCCAATGCCCTCAACGAGTCCATGGACGCCACCGAGCAGGTCCGCACATGGCTCGCGCAGTGCCAGGAGTGGGAGGACGCCCTCGCCGCCGAGTACGCAGCAGCCCCTGACGAGCAGACGCGGGCCATCGCCCGCGCCACGGCCTGCCTCGAGGAGGAGCAGGGCCCCTCGGCCTCCGTCTCGGTCAACCTATTTTCCGTCCTGGCAGGGAAGGAAGGCCTCTCCTTCGAGCTGGGCGACGCCTTCGACTTCGAGGGCGTCGCCGTCGCCGTGGCGGAGCAGGCGGAGTGGGACCTCACGCCCGCGAAGTTCAAGGCCGAGTTCTTCAAGCAGGTCGGGTCCATGTTCAAGCCAGCTGCCGAGGAGTTCAGCCGTCGACGCGAGGCCCTGGCCAAGCTCCAGGCGGACTTCCGCACGAAGACCAAGAAGAGGCGCTGCGAAGACGAAGGGGCTTGTGGCACTGATGGCGCCGGTGATCCTGCTGGTCGGGAGGCCGACGCCGCGGGAGCCGACAGCGCCGCCAGCGGCGCGGCAGCCCTGGGCGCGGAGGGCGCCGCGGGCGCCCAGGGCGCCTGCGGCGCGGGCCCCCAGCGAGGCGACCCGCGCCGCGGGGCCGCTGGCGGCGCGGCGCCAGCGGGGCGGCCCGCCACCCCAGCGAAGGCAAGCATCTCCCGGGGGCGCCTGGGCGAGCCCAACGCGGCCGCGAAGGCCGATCGCGCGGCTGACCGGGCCAGCAAGCCCCCAGCGTCAACCTAGCTGCGGGCGCCGCCGTGGCGGGCGCCGAGCTGGCCAGCCGTTCACTTTCGTCTCCGCGAACGGCTCCGGTCGGGGCCCGCTCGCTGCCAGGTGGGGCAGGCCCCAGGGCAAGGCGCAGGAATTAGCCAAGAAGGCGCGCGCTGGGCAGTGCTGGCTGGCGCAGAAGACCCACTTCTACCCCGACGGCGCCGTCCGCGAGGAGCAGCGGCTGCGCCGCCGAGGTTTGCGAGGCGCCCTCGCCCCTGGCATCGGGGAGCAGGACAGCCTCGACCTGCAGCAGCGGCGGGCAGCGTGGCCGCGGCGCTGCCCAGCCCCTGCCTGCATCGCCCGCAGCAGCGGTCGAGGCGCCTGGAGGCCAGTCGCAGCATGTCTCCAAGGGCCGCTGCACCAGCCTCCACACCGATGGGGATCCAGCGGGGCGGCGTCCACGCGTCCAGCGTGCAATTGGACCACGGTCGCCTACGCGAGACCTCGTGGGCGCGCGCCCAGAGGCGCGCGCCCAGAGCGTCGGGGAGGTCCTTCGTGATCGGCGAGGACATCAACGCAGGGCTTGGGCTCTTCACGGATAAGGCGCGGCTCTGCCTCGAAGGCATCTGCGGCCAGGTCGCCAGCAGTTCCGAGGGCCTCGGCGCCTGCCACTTCGCCGAGGACCCGCCGTCAGTGCTCGTTTTCTTCATCGTGACCCAGGACCTTGCCCGCAGGATCCAGAGCTGGCGAGCCATCGACGCCCCCGCCTTCAGGCCGCGCCGAGCCGCGGCCCCCGCGCTGAAGCAGGGGGGCGAGGTACCATGGGAAAGGCGGCTCGTCGCCCCGCGGCATCTCCCGCGGGAGAGGCCAGTGGGCCCTGCTCGGGGGCCCCCGAGAGTCGACGCCGCTGTGCAGGAGCTTTGCGAGAACGCCGACTCCCAGGATGACCTCGACAGGGCCTTCCCGGACACCATGGGGCACATGGAGGAGGACTTGCTGCGCATCCACTACGTTGGCCCCGCCGACGCCAGCAAGATGGTCGGGGGAGGGCGCCCAGCCCGCTACCGCCGGCGACGGCCTCCGAAGGGCCCTGGAGGGCGCCTGCAGCTCAAGGCGCGCGGGGAGGCGCGGCCGGCAGAGGGCTTCTCGGAGTGGACCGCGCGGCCCACGCAGGCTGGAGGTGAAGGTGCCCCCCCAGGCTGACTGCCCGACGAGATCGCGGAGGGCGCCCCCGCGGGTGGACAGGACAGAGCCGACGCGATGGCAAAGTTTTGGTCCCGGGGGGTCTGGGCTCTGAAGGACCCAGCGGGGCCGTTGGAACCCGCGCTCAGGCCCCCGACGGGGCAGCCGCTGGAGATGCCCTCGCTGGAGCGAGCTCGCAGGGCGGCTACGCGGCTACGCAGTTCGCCAGGCGCGCGGGGGCGGGGGCCGACCGCCTCAACCCGAGGCTCACCGCGGGCCTCAGCGACCTCTGCGTAGAGAGCCTCGTCGACCTCTGCATGGCCCGCGAGCGTCTCGGGGTGCCCCTCGGTCGCGAGCGCAGTGCACTTAGTCGCGCACATCAAGCCCAAGGGAGGGTTCCGTCCTATAGGGCTTCTCACCTGGCTGCCGAGATGGTGGGCGCGCATCCGCCAGAGGGACAGCCGTGCGTGGGAAGCCAACCTGCCGCCAGAGAAGAAGGGCAACTTCTGGGGTGGGCAGGGGAAGGCCGCGGCGGAAGCTGTCTGGTGGCAGGCCCTGCGCAGCGAGTCAGCTGACGGCAGGGGCGCGCGCGCTGGTGGTGTGTTCCTTGACCTTTGGAAGGCCTACGAGGTGGACTCGCTGGCGGTCCCTCAGAGGCGCGCGGAGGCAGAGGCCCCCCCCTGGCCCTCGCGGTTTCGGCCCTCAGCATCTACCGGGGCTCGAGGAGAATCGTCATCGACGGCGTCGTCTCGGAAGCATTCCACCTGGCGACGGGCCTGGCGGCTGGTTGCGGGCGCGCTGAACGCTTGCCCCGACGCTGCGCGGCCGTCGTCGACGCGGAGCGCCGCAGGATGTACAAGGAGGTGTCTTTGGCCATCATGTTCGGCGACTGCTCCCTGCGCATGACTGGCCCCGAGGCCGAGGTCGCTCGGGGCCAGGCGGGGGGGGCAGTTGCCAGGGGCCTCGAGCGGGACCCGGGCGCAGCGGTTTCGAGGGGCAAGAGCGAGATCCCAGGCAGTGCCGACAGGATCCGCCGCACCATTGAGTTCAACATGGACGTTGGCTCCTTCGCGTGCTAAGGAAGCCAGGAACCGCGGGGTGGACTACGCCATGGGCGGGGAGGCCGCCACCGCGGTCTGCTCGAGAGTGCTCGCGGGCAGCGCCGAGGCCGACCGCGTCCTTCATGTGCGACGGTCGTCCAAGGCGTTGTTGCGCTGGCGGTCGCGGCTCGCGGCGATCGTGCTCGGCGCGGGAGCGGGCAGGGGCGTCGCCCCCAGCTACCCCGTGTCCGAGAGGCCATGCGACGACCCCCCATGCGACCACATCGCGAGGCCCATCGTCGCATGGGCCAAGGGGTTGCAGCTGGATGCTGACAGGCGGGCCATCGGCTCCGCCTCCGCGGCGGCCCGCAGCCGCCAGGCCTCAGCGGGGGCCGAGGGCGTGGTGGCGGGGGGCCCCGCAGCGGCCGCGGCCCGCGCCGCCCTACGGCTGGGCTGGAGGGCCCACCACATCAGGCGCTGGACCGACGACTTGCAGCGTCTTATCGACTTGGGGGCCATCGACAAGCACGCCCTCGGCCGCGAGGCCCAGGCCGCCTTCATCAGGAAGCTCTGGCGGGACACCGCCTGCCGCGACCCCATGCTGAGTCACTTGGCAGGGGGGCGCCGCCGTGGGGGGCCTGCGCCGCCGTCTCTGCGGGGCGCAGGGCAGCCCAGCCTGGGCGGCGCGCTGGCCCTCGGCCAGGAACGCCGTCGTCGGCTGCCTCTGGCCTGCGCAGCGGCATGCCGAGGCCTCCCCGCCGCTGGCGAGCTCAGGCCCTTGCCCTGCGGGCTGCGAGGCGAAGGGGGCCCTCGGGCACCTGGCCCGGGCCTGCCCCAAGCTGGATGATCTGCGCAGGCAGTGGAAGGTCCACGACCCGAACCTCGACCACTTCCTGAGCTCTGGAGGCCCTCGCGACGCCGACGACGAGCACGCCCTGTGGTCGAGGTGCCCGGTCAAGGACCCGAGGTGCGACCACCCCCCGCGGCTCGCCGCGCGCATAGTCCGCGCCGCTGGGCCAAGAGCTGCTGGGGTCTGCATGGCGAGGTATTCTTGGACGGCTCCGCCCACGCGGTCCAGGGCCACATCGTGGCGCGCGCGGGCTGGGCAGCTTGCGCCACCGACCCCGCGGGCGCCGAGCCCTCCAGCATCTTCGGCCCAGCGCCGTGGCCCTGGCCCCAGGGGTCGGAAGCGGGCGAGCTGATGGCCGCGGCCGAGGTGTTGGCGCACGCTTTGCCCCCAGTCCATTTTTTCCGGTGACTCGCAGCTCCTGGTTGACGGCTGGGAGGCTGACAAGGAGTGGCGGGCAGGGTGGAACAGACCATGCCGTGAGATTTGGCAGTTTTTCTGGCGTCGCGCGGGCGACGCCGGCTGCGAGCACACCCAGATATCGAACGTGAAAGGCCACGGTTCCATGAATCCATGAATGATGTGCACAGCGGCGCCATCACTCTCTGGCAGCGTCGAGGCAGCAGTTGTGCAGATGCTCGTGCAAAAGAAGGTGCGGGCTGTCACCCTTTTTGGCCTGCGCTCGCTGAAGCTGCCACTATCGCTGATGAGTGGGGGCGGGGTGAGCTTGGGTCGGCCGGGAGGGGGCGGCGGCGCGGGAGGGGGACTGTTGGCTCAGGGCCGAGGAAGGGTTCAACCCGCCTGGCCTGGCCGCCATCAGATGCACGGTGCCATATTGCAACAGAGGAGCTCCGCGTCGTGCGACGCATGCGTTGCCAAGCCACGCCCGGGGCACGGCTCATCAATCGCGTCTGTTTCGGGAGCTGTCTCCTGGTGTTGCCCACGAGGGACCCCGATTCCCGCCTGCGCTTGGCCGCCGGCCTCTGGGGGGGAGGGCCAGGCTTCGCCGTCGCGTCGCTGGCGGCAGGAGCTGCCGCCGCGGCCGCGAGCGGAGGAGCAGCAGCCTGTGCAGCAGCAGCAGCAGCAGCAGCAGGCCCCAGAGGGCGGAGGTAGCAGCACTAGCGTGGGACCTCCAGGGGAGGCATCCTAGTTTGGCGGTCAGGTGCTGGGAGGAGTTGCCCCCCTGGCTGCATCTACGTTTCGGCACTTCGCATGCGTTGTACCGAGCAGGGGGGGGGCCTTTTGCTCGAGGTGCGGGGCCCACGCGTCGTCCACGCGAGCGAAGGGCCTCGTCGAACCGTACCTCGCCCCCCCCCCCCCCCTCCCTCGGAGCGTGTAAAAGAATATTTGAAGAGAATGAAGAGAGGGCTCCACCCCTCAAAAGGTGGAGCCCAGGCCGAGTTCGGCCCGCCTCGCCCTCTCCGCGACCGCTCGCGATCGCCAGGCCGAGGCACCCCGAGGTCATGTAGTTGACGGGCGGGCGACTGCGATTCGGCGGCGGCCCTCTTTGGGAGAGTGGGATCGTCTTCATCAACCTCATCATCCGCATCGCAATCAGAAACAACATCATCATGTTATTCATCGCCATCATCATACTCATCATCAGCATCATCATCGTCACCATCCGCACACGCACCATCATCATCATCAGCATCAGTACCGGCATCTGCATCAGCATTAGCAGCAACATCTTCATCATCATCAGCATCATCACCATCATCATCATCATCATCATCATCGCACACAGAAGCATCATCATCGAGTTATTCATCACCATCATCATACCCATCATACTCATCAGTTTCGGGCGATCGCCCCGATGCCCTCGATACCCCTCTCCAATTGGTGATGAGGGAGATCAGAACAAAAACCAAACACTTCGTTCTCCTCCTCTTCCTCTTCCTTCTTTTTGTCGGCGGCACGCCGAGGGGGCAGGCGAAAGGGGGCAGGCCTCCTCAAGATGACGGCGAGGCTTCTCCGAAGCCCCCGCGCCTTTCGAGAGGCCGCCTATGGCTTCGGAGGGGAGGCTCCGATCTCGGGAGGACAGGGGCCTTCTGTGCCTTCCGAGAAGGCCCGCTCCTTCTGCCTTCCCCTTGGGTGCGCGTTGAGCCCCATCTATCCTCGGCGTACCTCTTCTCCCAGGTTCGAGGAGCGAGACTTTTGGACGTGTCTGGCAACTTTGGGATTGTCTGGGTCCTCCCGGGGCATCCTCCTCGTGCTTCGTCCCCCTCCTCCCTTCCTTGCCCAGGCCATGAACACCTTGCTGTTCGGCTGGATGATGGCCTGCTACATGAACATCGACGGGGACGGCGTCAGGAAGGTGAGCCAGAGCGGCGCGCTGTTGGAGGAGGAGATGGCAGAGGATGAGGAAGGATAGTGAGGAGTATACGGAGGAGGGGGAGGAGGAGGAGGAGGAGGAGGAGGAGAAGGAGGAGTACGACCGACGACGGATGGGTGAGGCGCAGGATTGAGGATGTAGGAGGAGGAGGAGGAGAGGCAGAAGGAGGAAGGGAAGGAGGAGGAACGAGTAGCTGAAAGATGAAGCTGGATAAGGAAGATTGAGGAGGAGAAGGAGGGGAAGGTATCAGCGATGACCCCTCGCCGATGCGAGGAGAAGAAGGTGGCGGAGGAAAAAACGAGGAAGATGAGCCGGATGATGAGAGAACGGAAGGGCACAGAGGCGGAGCGAGGGCCGAGGAGGAGGAGGAGGAGGAGGAGGAGGAGGTGCGGGGTGGGGGAGGACCTGCCGGGTAGGAGGTCGGAGGAAGACGAGGAGGGAGCATGTCGGAGAGGAGGCGGGGAGGCTCGCATCGTCTTTCGTCCAGTCGTCGCACCATCTTGCCCTCGCGCACACGGCTGCGGGCGCTATGTCAGTACGAAGCGTCGCGTCGCAACGCTCCCAGCTTCCAGTTCTTCCGAGGGACGCCAACAATACCACCACCAGCCCTGGCCAGGTCCATCTTGGGACCAGGGCTGGTGTACAGACCTCCGGGCCTAGGCCAGGAGGACCTGTACACCAGCCCAGGGCCCAGGATAGGCCTGGACAGGGCTGGTGGTGGTGTATTGTCCGGAGCTCTCGCAGTTCCACCGAGTGCGCTCAGACCTGACGGATGTCACCGTGTCCTCCTCCGTGTTCCTTCTCCTCTGCCTCCCGCCCTCCTCGATCTCCCATCCCCTTCCTCCCTCTCTCTTGCCTCTTGCCTCGTCTCCCCCCGAGGGTCATGGATATCCACGGTGGCGTCCGCAATTTCGAGATACTCGATTCTCCACCCTCCCTCTCCTCCTCCACCATCCCCTGTCCTCTCTCCCCTCTCGCCCCCTCCTCCCTTCTTTGTGATTACTGTTCTTTTTACTATTATCATGATTCTAACTATGTTTGTTATGATTATGCTTCTTCCTCGTCCTTCCTGCCCCATCTCCACGGCCTCCTCTTCATCATCCCCGTGACCTCCCCATCCCTCGTCTCCCCTGTTTTTCATCTTTCTTCCGATGCTGCCGCTCTTCCCCCATGTTTCATTTATCTCTGTTCCGTTGCCGTAGATTTATCATTGCGGGGTAGAGCCAAGACACCGAAACAAGGACCATTTCGGGCATGGGAGGGCTCTGGTTTTCGGGCCGTTCCTTGAACCTGGGCCGGGAAGCCCACTCGTGGCCGAAGTTTTCCGTCGTCAGACCAGCCACTTCGTTCCCGATTCAGATTTCCGCACGGCAGCACGATCGTTGTACGCTTGACCTGGCCACCCTGCTGCCATTTCTTGCTCCTCCACCGTCATCATCCTCACCATGTTTGTCCCTCCTCCTCCTCCTTCTCCTCCTGCTCCTCCTGCTCCTCCTCCGCCTCCTCCTCCTCCTCCTCCTCCTCCTCTCTCACGGTCCCCCTCATCCCTCATCCTCACTCATCTTCCGTCACTTTTCCTTCTCATCCTGCTCCTCTTCCTTCCGCCCTCCTCCACCCTTCTTTCTTCCTTCCGCTCTCCTCCACCCTCCTGTCTCCCTTCCGTCTCTGCTTCTCCCCGTGCCCCATCCCCCGCCCAGACATTCGGCAACTAGTTTTGTTCAAGAGTAGCTGCTCCCCCCCAGACCGGTCAATCCTTCACCGAGGCCGTTTTTTTACCCAGAGTAGTTGTTCGACGGTTATTTGGCCCGTCAATTGCTTCAGAGGCCGAGAAAAGTTGGGATCAAATTGATGTCTTAGTGTTTCGGGCCGTTGGATCATGAAGGAAAGGAGTCCTGCAGGAAGCGGGCCCAAGACCCCTCAGGGATTTCGCCAGGACCAGTTCTTCTTCCAGGTTGACGGTCCTGGTGGCTGTGGAGGACCCCAGGTGCCCGAAAACTAATGACGCGTTCCCGGACACGTTTCCGTCATGATAGCTTCCCCCCCATCCACCCATCCACACCCCACGCAAGAGCAGACGGAAGAGCGAGAGTGTGATTGTTTTGATTGTTTCATCGTTTCGCTTATTTTCTGGCCCGTATTTTATCAATGATGCTATCTGATTGTGTGCTTGTGGCGAGCGAGCAGGATGAGGAGGAGGAGGACGAGGAGCGAGATGGGAGGATGAGGATGAGGCTTCTCGATGGCTTCGTGGGATATTATTGAGGCAAACTGGGGTGTGCACAACACGCCTCTTTGGGAGGCTTCTCGGGGCCTTTGGGGAAGGCAGCATCTTGGTGCCTCTTGGCGGGGGCCATTTGCGCGCCGCCTCCAGGGGCGGCCTCCTGGGTGCCTCTTGCGGACCTGCTGGCAGTCTCGGGGAGCCTTTTTTCTGCAAAGGCTTCGACATGTGAGTTCGGATTTCCCCTGTTGCGGCCCTTCGTGGGTCGGCTAACTACACGTAAGAGGGACCCTACACGTGGTGCGAAACTTTCGGGACGCCAGCGGTGGCCCAAAGCAACCGCGCAAGCCGCTGCTGTCGCATCGCATCAACGATCAGCGGGACGCGCCTCGGAAGATCCTTAGCGCCAGCGGGCAAAGGCGGAATTCTGACAATTCGATTCGCACGCCCGGAATGGCACCCCGAAGGCGCTGCGAACGAAGACGCTGCCAGTGGTTCAGCACGATGAGGTCTGGTACTGCCGGGCCGCGTCGCGATGACGTCTGACCAGGTTTGGCGTCGTGGCCAAAATTAGGGCCAAACGAGTCCACGGAGTATGTTTGAAAATAGTTGTGGTTAATTTCAAGTAGATGTTCAAAGATACTCAAAGATATTCAAGGCTATCGCAAATATTTAAACCGGACGATTTGGGATTTGGGCTTGGATTCGGGATTGGCCCTGGGCTGGATAACGCGCCGCCCGGTCGACCGCACCCCACCCTCTCGAAACTAACGTTCGCTGTAGGATGCGCCGCGTATGCGTTGCGGTCGATTGCGATGGGGGTGCTCAACCTTGGCGCGCTCAGATGCGAGCGCAACCCCACGCTGCGGGTGCCAACGCGAGGTCGAGCTGAACCCCGAACGGACAATTACCCGACCTCCTTTTCTGGAGCAGCACCAAAAGTCATTCCTGCGGAGGATCTTTCGTGTACGCAGCCGATTGGGATCCTGTGAAACCCTTGGGAGGCCTCTTGGGCCATTCTGAGGTCCTGCTCGTTTGTGCTGGGGCCGTCCAGCGAGCCCCTTGGGTTGACTTGGGGCGATCGTGAAAGTCTCTTGGATCTCTTGGGCCGTCTTGAGCGGTTGGAAGATGAAATGGCACGAAGGGCAAAATCCCTCAAACATCAATCGATAATACATGGATTTTGGTTTCCGGGACAGCTTTGGGGACTCTCTTGGTGCCTGCTTCCCAGCGATCACGACTGGAGCGCCCTCTTGGAGTTCCGTGAGGTTCTTTCGGGGCGCTCCTGGTCCGGAAGACCGCCCCGGGGAGCTCCGGCATCCTGGAGCCCACCTTGCTGAGGTACGTGTCGTCCTGGGACCCCAGGGGCGGCCCCATTTGCGCGAACTTAAGTGTTCTGAACCTCGCACTAGAGATCTTAGCACGCCTCTGGCCCGTTGGGCTGGCGAATTCTTAGCGGTGTAAAGAATGTTATCCTCCAAACCCCAAGCCGTCTCGCCCACTGTTAAGGCCCAGTGAAGCGACCTCCCCCCTTTTAAGTTTCGTTCAGTGCGTCGCCCGAGCGTCGCCCGTGCGCCGGCCCTGTTTTGCGTCTCTGTCCCGAATCCCGGCCTCCCAGAGTGCGTGGGCGACATACGGCGCGACTTCGGAATTTCTCTGGCGATGTATAGGTTTCCGACGCCGGTGCACCAGCAGCCATGTTGGCGGTCGCGGCGCATTCTAGTTCGACGGTCCACCATCGCGTTCTGCTTCCAATTCGGCGTAAGAGGATTTGCTGGTGCGCATTCTCGGGGGCGCCAACCGTTGCTGAGGACGAAGACGCCTCGCGTTGATTGAGGGCTGTGCGTGTCGCGCCACGGCGGGGGTGACGTCACGTCGCGCGACGCGGCGCCACTTCGCCCCGTCGCATCGCGCCCCGCACCCCCATGTCGTTTCGCGCCAATTCTCCTGCCCCCCCATCCTTCTTCCTTCCCCTTCCCCTCGTCCAACGCGTTGCGCGTTTTGTCCCGTTTGCGAAATTTGTATTCAGTTATTTTGTGTCAGGCTGCCGCCCTGTCCGCCTCCCTACTCACCCCCCGTTGTCCTTCCACCCCCCTGGAACTTCTTCTTGCCCTCCTCGCTCCCGCCGCCCCCCTTCGATCGCCTTCCATCGCTCCCGCCGCCGCTGCGCCGCCCCCGCGCGCCCCCTCCTCGCCCGTCTGTTCCCATTCCCGCCCGCCCTTCCCTCGCCTCACTCCCATCCTCTTTTCCGCCCCCAGCGCATCGGCGGGCGAGGCGTCGCTTAATTGCTAAAGCGACGGACCGATGTTCAAAATCTGATGGGGCGTGCGGACCGATAGTCCGCACGCGCTGCATCTCCACGTCGTCAATTGGTCTCCTCGCGCTCGTAGTTCTCACGTGCGTGTCTCGTTATTTCTACGATTGCCGCACGCATCCCTCGATTGTTTCGCCAGCGGGCCGCGCAGTTCACATGCCGTCAGAAATCCACGGCGCCCTTCGAGCGATTCGCGTGCGACCTGCGCGCGACGCGCGAACGACCCGAGCGACGCCCGCGCGACGCACGCGCGACGCGCGCGCGACGCACCCCGACCCCCGCGCGACGCACCCCTGCCAGCGCGCGACGCACGATCGACCCGCGCGACGCACGCACGACGCACGCGCCACGCGCGCGAAGCAAGCGCGACGCACGCGCGACGCACGCGCGACGCACGCACGACGCACGCGCGACGCATGCGCGACGCAGTCGCGACTTTGCCCGCCCCTA